ATTCTTTCTCAACAACTTATTCGAGGAGGCTTCCAGGCTTGGCAGTTTGTACAATCGAGGAAAACAACAAAAATTTCTTTGAATTTGTATCAAGTGGTTATTATGGAGCAAACCGGTTTTTTTTAGTGTATGCGAGAGGATTGAATTTCAAAACTATATCAACAGTCACTAATTCCTAGCTCGGTCGAGAGTTTAGTCAATTGTTATATCTCAAACTATTAAGTTGTAGAACTTGAAAGTCAAGTAACTTTTGTTGGATTACTTTGTAGCACGAGCATAAATGTAACAGCCCAAGCTCGTCACTAACAGATATTATCTATCTTTGGATTTTTCCTTAAAGGGCTCTTCCTCAAGGTAGCCCAAGCCCACTACTAACCGATATTATCTTCTTTGGGCTTTCTCTTAAAGGGCTTCCACTTAAGGTTTAAGAACTTGTCTACTAGAAGACGTTTCCACACCCTTATAAAGAATGTTTCGTTTCCCTCTCCAACCGAGATCTCACAGTGAAGTCATATATGTTTCATTTCCCTTATAAAAAATGTTTCGTTCCCCACACCCTTTAACGCGTCTACTAGGAGAAGTTTTCCCTACGAATTTATGTTCCACTACGAGCTATCATGGGGCTTAGACCCTGATCTTTGTCTCAAGTCGATGAATCAAGAGGCATATATGTTGAGACAAAACCTATAATTCAGTCATCAGCAACGACTATCAAGAACAAAAATATGGCTCCAAATCTATCAAGAACACCTTCAAACCCTAAACATCAAGAACCAAAATAATTCCAAAATTAATATCCGAAACTAAATTGACTTAGTAATCGAGATATTGATCAAACCCACTTTAAAAAAATTCCAACTTTTATTGATCATAAGAACAAAAGATTACAAAATCGAGAGAAACAGAAAGATCGGCCAAAACCCAATTCAACTCAACCCAAACCAAACCAAACCAACCCATGAACATACCATCAGCTCAAAGAGAACGATATCAGTAAGGAAGAATGGAGCATAGATTCGGCCAAAGAAGAAGAACAGCTGTGATTCAAACCGCAAAAGTTTGTTGCTCAGAATCAGAAACACGAGACTCATAGAATCTAGCAATAAAATCAGAAGCTTTACGATCAATTCCAGGCTCAGCCACCCATCTTCCTCTACTATCTTGATCACTTGGCCACATCCTTCTTCTAATTTCAGCACTTTCATCCCAATAAGCTTCATCATTATCTCTTCCTCCCACCATTGGGAAGCAGCAGCTTTTCAATATGCTGCAAATTGAGAAGCATTTCAAGGACTTTGATCTTCCTCCCATATGATATTGTTCTAAAGATCTCTCCTTTTTTGTTTGATTATTTCCAAATACTGCCTTTTTTTTCTCTCTTGGTTTCTCTAAGCCTTCAATGGTAGAGAATATAATGGCTGCATGAGTTTATATAGAAAAGAAGAGGCTTTGCTTTTGGGACAGCTTGTTGAAGCTTTTGCTTTCTAACTTACTTTTTGGGTTATTTATATAAACTGATGTGAAACTCGGGATTATGGTCAAAGTGAGCATAACTCAACGGTAATTGACATGTAAATTTGAGGTTCAAATTTGTGAGATCTCGTATCGGTTGGAGAGGGGAAACGAAGCATTCAAAGGTGTGGAAACTTCCCTATAGCAAACGTGTTTTAAAACCGTGAGGCTGACAGTAGGATTGGGCTGTTACAATTAATACATAACGAGCCAAAGCGCCCAATATCTACTAACGGTGGGATTGGACTGTTACAATCAGTGAACGGGTGAGTATTTTATATTCAAACCGAAACCGAAATCAGAACCTAGAGTACATTGATGAGTATTTTATATTATAGATTAGCCAAGAAATGGACGGCCAGGATCCAATGACAAGACTGGTTAAGATAAGGGTTGCTGTCCTCTACTTTTTGATTCACCCGACTCTTTTCTTCCTCAACTTTTTTTTGTTCTTTGTATTCTCTTTTGCTCTTGACAGAGAGGATTCTGCCCTAACTCCTTGTTTAAATATTGCCTATGGAAACAGCTTGCTTATAAAAACCTAAATCTTCATGATCACTAATGTTAACTTGAACATTCGGCGCCCGATCTTCTTTTTTAATCGTTTTCGTTTAGCTTTCAAGTATTATTTTCCAAGTTTTTGACTATGGTACAAAGATTCTACAAATAAGCGTTTTTTTCGTCTATAAACCGTGTCACTTGTATGTTGTCAAAATCTGGACATAGTAACCGTAACAATCCAAGCTCACCGCTAGTCAGATACTGTTCTCTTTAGGTTTTCTCTTTCGGAATTTCCCTCAAAGTTTATAAAACGCATATGGTAGGGGAGGTTTTCACACCCTAAAAAATGTTTCGTTTCCTCTCCAACCGATGTGGAATCTCACAATTCACCCCTCTTCAGGGTCCAGCGTCCCCACTGACACTCGTTCCCCTCTCCAACCGATGTGGGATCTCACAGTCCACCCCTCTTCAGGGTCCAGCGTCCCCGCTGATACTCGTTCCCCTCTCCAATCGATGTGAGATCTCAAAGTCCACTCCTCTTCAAGGTCCAGCGTCCCCGCTAACACTCGTTCCCCTCTCCAACCGATGTGAGATCTCACAGTCCATCCCTCTTTAGGGTCCAACGTCTTCGCTGGCACTCGTTCTCCTCTCCAATCGATGTGGGATCTCACAGTAACACATCAGAGCTTCATATGACAACAAAGGTAAATTTTGTTCGGAACTGCCACATTGGCATCAATTGCCTTTCAAAAGGGCACCTTTTTTGCTTGGAAAGAACCTTTGGAAAGGAAAGGAGTGGTGGGTTTAGGGGTTGGGGGAGTTTCTTAGAGGCCTCCTCAATGCATTCAAGCTGTCTAACTTTTAGTAATCTAAAGGAAGCCCTCACTCTCTCTGGTTTGCATATTTTCCCCGTTACTTTATTTATTCCACCAATGAACTTCATAATAATAATAATTTGTCTTTGATTTTGAAGGAATCATCAATGATATTTATTATGTTTTTGATGATTTGGTTTTAGTTTAATATGAAAAAAGCTAGATATTGTCTATATATGCAAATCTCTTAGCAGCTTCTTGCATATATTACTTCAAATCTTCTCCTTAATACTTAAGTAAAGGTTTATAGATTCTTTTTCTTGTAACCCGACAAAAATAATGATTGGCAAATAGGTTATTTTTTCGAAGTAGCTACAATTTCATAGGCTGGTCTAGAATCATCTTTGTCAGAATAGGCCGCATTTTTCATACCGCTATTCAAATAGCTTTTTTGGCTATATTTTCGACTACTCCTCAGAATCGAATGACTATTCATTCATCTGTTTCTCACGTTTCTAAAAGTATTTCAAATTCTTATCTCTCAAAAGGGTTTCATAGTAAAGAAGAAGAAAAAAATGTAAAGAAAACCAGAGATTTTAAAGGCTAATTAGCTCTCCAAAGTGAAATTACAAAAGAGTACTGTATGAAATGAAGTGGGCATAGTAGATGGTATCACAATCTTGCAACCTTATTAATAATGGCTTTAGGGGCCTTTTGGGCATGTTTTGGGTCATTCGGGACAGAGGAAGTGCATAGAAGAGTTACCCTAGCGGTGGACACGATCACTTTAGTCTCTTTCAAATCCTTCCACAATTCTACATCCCATACCTACACATCATACAACCATTCTCGATCATGCTCGAACAACTTTAAACCGTTTATTGTACTACTGGCTACAAGATTACCAAGTTCTTAGTAATTCTTAGCAGCAGACTATCGATAAAATTTAAGTTAAATTATAAATTCAGTCACTGTAATTGTTCGTATATCTTATAAGGCGTCTAAACTAGTTCTTGGAATCGTAATTATGTATCTGATAAGTCTTATGTTCTTCCTTTAGCTAACTTTCGATTTTGTATGTGATGAATCCTCGATATATTATTTTGAAAAAGAATATAATATTAAAATGAATATTTTAAAAAAAATGCTATTTCTCCTGAAAATTGTAAGAAGGAAGAAAGGGAAAGAGGGATACCTGAATGGTTCTGCCGACGGTGACCGGCGTAGCTTCGGCGAGAACGACGGCGCCCATCTCAGCGCTCTTCAAGTGATTGATACTAAGATGGATTCCGACTACTTTCCGGTAGCCCGACGCCACATAAGCCCCCTTACTCGCCAAAGCCTCCGCAATCAACGCCGATACTCCGCCGTGCAACACTTTAAACGGCTTCATTTTCGAAATTCATTCGCGAATCAACACAAAATATATATAAATATCAAGAATAACACTGAACTGTGAAGTTTTCAAAGATTATTTAATTAAATAATGTAAGATAAAATTTTCAAAATTCGAGATGTAACCTAACAGTAATTAAAATCAACCTAAGAATTCTGGAGCAAATTTTTTAATAATTAAACAAAACAAAAAGAAAACAGACCAAGAAACTGAAATTAGGGCAATCGGAATGTGACTGAACGAACCTGGCAGCAGATCGGGGAAACGAGGATGCGGCCGCTCACTCTCTGAGCGGATTCGTGTTCCAACACGAATCCGACTGCCTGAAGCGGAGCATCCTGCATCGGTGGCCGCGGCGGCGGCGGCGGCGGCGGCAGCGGAGGATTCCTTGTAGACATTTTGGTCGCGAATCGGAATCGGATGGCTGGAGCCGAGACTCAGAGGCTCCGATCGGGTGAAAGAGACGGGGGGAAAAATGGAGAAGGGTGAAATTACGGGGGGAAAAATTAATATTTCACAGTAAATTATTTTTTAATATTCTACGAGAAATTATTGGAAAATACCAAATTTATCCTTTACATTTTTCAATAAATTTTAAAATTAATTTTTTATAGTAATAAAAATATTTTTTTATAAAATTAAAATTTTTGAAGCTTTTTATTAACATAATAAATTAAATAAAAAAAAGAATTGTGGAAAAAAAATGAAGCGGACATTTTATTTACTAAAATTAATTATAATTTTGGGTACATCTAAATAAAACTCCTGTTCATAAATATCGATGATTCGATTCATATATCTAAGTATTTAAATAATAGTAGTAATAATAATTACAATTTTGCAAACATCTTGAGGGCATTTGCGGCATTTTCAGCGTGTTTCGGGACAGGCAAATTGCAAAGAAGAGTAACTCGTGCGGTGGACACGACCACTTTTGTCTCTTTCAAATCCTTCCACAATTTCACATCCCATACCTGTTATCATACAAATCAAAATATTTAGCGTACGTTTTGAAAGCAGTTTTGATCGATAAATTTTACACGTTTAAAGAAGAGTTTAGTAAGTCTCGATGTGGGAAAGAAGATTGATTAGGAGGATAGTTTAGGAAGTATGGGAGTTAAAAAAAACGGAACGTGCAGTTTGAATTAGGCGACTCTTGTTGAAGTTGGTAGCTTTTTTCCGATTAAACTCGAGTTTACGAACTCCTCTCCCAAAAAATGGATCAGGTCGAGAATGGCTTTAAGAGAAACCACCCTTATGTTGAATATGAGTTCAAATCACTGGTAGGATTCGGTTAGATTCTTTTTTAGGTTTAAATAAGGTTGATTTTTAGAGAATCGAAAACCCGATTAAATATATATATAATATATATATATATATATATATATATATATATATAAAAGGGCTGACTATACACAAAATTAAAAGTTTATAAACATCACGATCTATACAGAATAATTAATCTTCAAGGTCAAAATAGTAATTTAATATTAGTTAAAATTAAAAAAATATTATATAATTTTTAAGTTTTTTTAATTTATTATTTTTTAGTTATAATTTTCCAAGTCAAGTAAAAAAGATAAGGAAAATTATACGTAAACGTCACAATCTGTCTTAATTCCTATTGGCTTTGAAAAAAATTTATTTAAATAAAAATAGTTTAATAATAATTGGAAAGCGATAAGGAAAGGAAGCATGCCTGGATGGTGCGGCCGACGGTGACCGGAGCGGCTTCAGCGAGAACGAGGTCGCCGAGGGCGGCGCTCTTCAAGTGATTGATACTGAGATGAATTCCGGCGACTCTCTGGTAGCCAGACGCCGTATGAGCGCCAATGCTCGCCAGAGACTCAGCGATCAACGCCGATACTCCGCCGTGCAGAACTTTGAACGGCTTCAATTACAAAATTGATCGACAAATCCAAATCAAATCGGAAGAACATAAAATTAAATCGGAATTTAATCGGAAGAAAATCGAATTGAAACCTGGCAGCAGATTGAGGAGACGAGGAGACGGCCGGCCACTCTCTGAGGAGAGACGTGGTCAATTTCGAATCCGAAGGCGTGAAGCGTAACGTCGAGAACTGGCGGCGTAGACGGCGGAGGAGGATCTGTAGACGACATTTCGGTAGTGAATCGGAATCGGAATCGGAAAAACAGAGGAAGAAATCTTGGATTCCGGCCGGCGATGGCGGAGGAACTAAAAATGATAATGGAATGGGTTTGGTGGATTTGGAGCGATTATAAAAGTCAAGAATCCATGGTCCACAACGGCGGTTGGTCGATGAATTTTCATTTCATTTTAAAACTATTTAATTTAGAGATATATTCAAAATTATAAATTAATTTATTAATATATTTGTTTTTAAGTTGACATTATATAAATTTTTATTGACTATTGTGGATAAATATATAGAATTAAGAATAAAACTTGCATTTCTTATTTAAATTTACGGTTAATTAGATGAAATAAAAATATTAAAACAAATTTAAGGATTGAAATTATTATTTTTAAATTATTATTATGTTTGGTTGACGTGGAAAATATTAAAACAAAAGTATTTTATTTTCTCTCTCTTCTCCACTCACATTATGACTAGACTTTTACTTTTTAATAATAATAATAATAAAGAAAGAAAAAAATCGCATTGGCCAATGAATGGATAAAAAGAAGACACGTTTTCATTTTTAAAAATTTTGAAAAAAAAAGAAACAAAATTAAATAAAAATACTCTTCAAAATTTTTAATAATACTTTTAAACTTTTAAAAAATAATTAATACCATTAAACTTTAAAAATATAAAAATAAATGGATGAAAACCGATAATATTTTATTTAAAAAATTTAAGTACAAATAAGGATATAAACTAACACTAATGCATTCAAAGGAAAAAAATATAAATTAATTAAATATTAAAAATAAAATAAAATATATTATAAATCAAATCATATTAAAATATATATCATAAATAATATATACTTTAAATATTATATTTCAATAATAGCAATAATAATAAAAAAAAAATTAATTGTAAATGGTATTAATACCAAAGGCCTTTCTACCAATGACGTGGATGACATCGACATTGATCCATTCATCCACACGTCAGATAGACTTTCTAGAAGATTCAATTTTCTTTTCATTTCTTTTTTTCTTCATATATTTTTTTATTATTATTTAATTGATACTAATTAATTAAAATTATAGTTAATAATGGTACTTTGAACTTAACCCAATTAATTATTCCATTATAAATTATCTTAATTATGAGAAAATTTTCAATTATATTTTTTATAAAAATTAAAATATATGTATTACTGGTTTATTGAGTTAAACTCGAACATACAAAACTAATCTATGTTGATGAACTCGTTCACAACTTTGCTAACCTCTTGAGAGTGTCGACCAAGGGTTGGGCATGTTTCGGCACAGGCATGTTACATAGAAGGGTCACCCTCGACGACGCCACTAGGTCCCTCCTCTCCACGCTCGAACTTTTCGCCTTCCATAATTCTACTTCCCATACCTATTATTATATGTATGTACCTATTCAGAGTCGGTTTGAATTGACTTTCTATCATTTTAGATAAATTCAAACGGACTCTTAATGTTTTTCAAACCGACTCTTACTATTTTTGTTTCTTTGCAAGAAAATAAATTGATTTGAATATTAAATAAATTTATGAATATGGAAGGTGTGTATTGGAAATTAGATTTTATGATTTTACACTTTTACCCTTGCCTTTGAAATCTATTGTACTACCCTAGATTTTATGAATTTACACTTTTATCCCTGACTTTTCCCTAATATTCGCTTTGGAGTTCAACGTGAAAAAGTTTTAAATGGTCCTTTAAATTTCAAGATTTTATACTTTCACCCCAAAATTTTTACTAATTCTCACTTTTTTATTTTTAATTTAAAAAATTTAAAATCATCAAAATGCAAGATTTTTTTTTTAAAAATAATGTTAATTTAATTTTTTTAAAAAAATCAAGTAATAAAGAATTTAATTATAATTAATTTACTTTATTCCTAATAAATATATATTTTAGGAACTTATTAGTAAAATAATAAGAATTATAATAATATAGAAAAAGAAAAGAAAATAGGCGTGACCTGAATAGCCTTGCCGAGGGAAAGGGGAGTCGCTTCAGCGAGAACAAGATCGCCGATCTCTGCGCTCTGTAAATGATCGATACTGAGATGAAATCCCGCCACTCTTTTGAATCCCGCCGCCATCTGTGCTCCGACGCTCGCCAGCGCCTCCGCTATCATCGCCGATACGCCGCCGTGCAGCACCTTAAACGGCTGCGCTTTTCATTTTCATTTTCGTAATCAAATGCTAATCGACGGATCATTTTATTGAAATTGAAACTCAATAACGTACCTGGCAGCACTTTGGAGAAACGACAATGCGGCCGGTTACTCTGTGAGGAGATAAGATCTGAATCTCAAACCCGACGGCGTTGAGCGGAGAGTCCAGAATCGCCGTCGTGGATGACGGCGGCGACGGAAGCGGCGGATCATTCGGATTTTGATGATCCATACGAAATTAATGCGAATTTGAGGGTTCGGGATTTGGTTGTTAGAGAAGATCAAGGGATGCGATCGGAATTTAAAGTTTCGGTTTGGATTCGGAGCGAAGGATATAGGCGTCGGAATTGCAACTGAACACACGGCGCCTTCTACTAAAAGTCCGGCCACGTGGCATTTTCTTTTACCTTTTAATATATATTCTTCTTTTTTTAAAAATAAAAAGTTTAATATTATTCTATAATTTTTTTTCTTCTCTTTTATTATTTATTTTAAATGATATAATTAAATATAAAAAATTTATAAATTTTGTTAAAATTTTATTTTGTAGTGCCACGTGTCATCGTGTAGGTGGGCCACGTTGCTTGAAGTGCAAAAAAAAAAAAATTGTTAGGCGTGTAAATCTCTAAACTTTCAATTTCGTGTCTATTAATCTTTAAAATATTCTAAATATTTTAAAATGAATTATTATTTTTTAATCTAAAATTACATTTTTAGATCAAATAGTTTCAATTTTGTATTACAACTTAGAAGGATCTACACGGGTTACCATCCCTAAAATTGATAACTCAATCTCCACCTTCCTAATTGTTAAGCTAAAAAAAAAAAAAGTTGTAAGAGCTCAAGGCCACTGTCGGTAGATATTATCCTCGTTGGACATTCCTTTCACAGGCTTCCTCCTCAAAGTTTTAAAACACAGGGCTTCCCCCTCAAAGTTTTAAAACACAGGGCTTCCCCCTCAAAGTTTTAAAACGTGTCTATTAAGGATAGATTTTCACACCCTTATAAGTAATATTTCGTTCTCAATCGATATGGGATCTCACAATCCACTCCCTTTGAGGGCCCAACATCCTCGCTGGCACATCATCCGGTGTCTGGCTCTAGTACCATTTGTAACAGCTCAAGCCTACCACTCGCCGATATTGTCCTATTTGGATTTTCCCTTCAAGATTTTAAAACACGTCTATTAGAGAGAAGTTTTCACATCCTTATAAGAAATGTTTCGTTTCTTTCCTCCACTGACGTGGGATCTCTAATTCAGGCCAACTTAGAACCAAATCTCAAATCTTAAATCAACAAGAGGTTAAGCATGGAAAATTCTTCCTCCTAAGAGCCTTTGATAGCCACTTTGGGAGGAAAGAGGTTTCCTGGAAGAACCATTTGGAGCATTTTATCAAAGTTATTGAAGTAAAATGAATTGGTCGGTACATATCATATCAGTTTAGGATAGAACAATCCAACTAAGCTGGAATACAAATGAAATTTACTAATACATTCAGAGAGAGAGAGAGTAAAACCTCATTATCTGATGATAGCAGGGGAGGCAACAGCATTGCATTAAGCTCAGTTTTCCACCTTGTCAATTCAGCAACTCTTCCAGTAATTGCATCAGATTTCTTCTAGCAAGCCATTATTTAGTATGTAAGCTCATAAGCAGATGGCACATCATGCAATGGATGACCTTTCCTGTTTCTTTCGATTATCCTCCGCGCAAGCGATACCTGCTTTCCGACCACGAAAATGAATGCTTTTCCTTTTCCTGTAGCACCTCTAGCCGTTCTTCCAACACGGCGAACATACTCGCTAGGATCACGAGGGAAGTCGAAGAGTATGACATGATCCACATTTGGAAAATCAATTCCACGTGATGCCCTGTTCATAATTTCAAAGGACATTTTAAGCTACATAGAAGTCTTCTGATGTCTCATATATCTTAAAAGCAAACAACTTCCAATGCAAAATGTTTGTAATTTAAAGGCAACTAAGCAGATGAAAGCTCGTATCGATTGGACGAATTTTGTCGCCTTTTTGTAATACGTTATGGAATAGTAGAAGTACCTATCTGTACAAACCAAGAACTTGGATAGTTGGTTTGAATGAGGATTGGTGAAGGCCTCCATATTTGCAAGCCGTGAGTCTCTTGCTAGGGCAGCATGAAATGGAAAAACTTGCAAGCGGCAACCTTTTTTATCAAAACGTTGCAAAGCATTTTCAACTCTTCTACATGTCTCAATCTGCACAATTCAATGAAGAGGCTAACATAAGAGTAAAAACTTTGAAACGTTCAGAATCTCAACCGTTCTTTTGTTTGTTTTTTATTTTTTCAGACCCATCGATGAGAAGTTGGTGCTAACAGTTCGATGCCCAAGCATCAAGCCTATAGACCCAAACAACGAAATTACCATAATCTATTTGTCAAAACGTTAGTTTGAATTTCAAATTTCTTTTAATCAAATTGTAAACTCTTTAAATTGCTTTACCCTATTTGGAAGTCCCCTTAACATTTTCTTAACAGCTCTTTCAACTACTGATAATGTAATAGTTCAAGCCAACCGCTAACCGATATTGTCCTCTTTGGACTTTTCCTGTTGGACTTCCCCTCAAGGATTTTAAAACGCGTATGTTAGGGTGAGGTTTCCACACCCTATAAGAATGTTTCGTTCTCCTCCCCAACCGATGTGGGATCTTACAAAAATTAAATGCACACAATCCAGGAACTTGAGGACATCCCCGACCCTAAAACAAAATTGAACGTACCTTGTTACAGAAAACAATAGTTTTCGAGACTGGAGTTCCTTCAGCAATCTGCAGAAGGGCGTCTTTCTTATTCAAGAAAGCAGCGTCCGGTGTCTTGTTCTGCTCATCTTCACCACTACAATCTACAAGAACCTGGAAATGGCTAAATATCTCGTCACTTTACATTAACAGGAAAAGGCAAAATATCATTTTCTATATTTCTTGGACGAGAAAAACATGAATGAGCCGAATTAGAGTTATCCATAAATAGATTAGAATGCTCTCTTAGACGCATCAAGTAGAGAGACATTGGCTAGGCACCTTAAGTTGAAAGGATCGAACATTATACCGAACATATTGCATGGTTTGAAGCAAACAAAAATAATCTAAAACTACTCAAGTTTTAAGAAATGAAGAAACACATTGATCTTTTACTCCTGTTCAACAAGAGAACAATACACTTTCTATAACCTGAGACATTGTCTGAAAAGATAAGGACAAATGCACAAATCATTTCCTCACACACACACACACACAGCACTCATTTAGACTGCTGACATAGAAAATCCAGAACCACCTTTTTCACATAATCAGAGCGTTCAGAACTGAAATGAACACAAGAACGTACCGATTTCCTATATGCAACTAACATGTGCAGTATCAATAAAACAGCATTTTAGTCGATCGGTCACTGATCGCTCAGGAAAAGTACAAAAATAATGAACTGATAATGATTAAAGACCAACCTCTTCCAGACTAGGACTTATCCGGTGAACTCCAGGTCCCATGATCACTTCACAATCAGGAAACTTTTCCACTAATGTATTATATATGTCAACGGGTAAAGTTGCAGTCACAAATAGATATTGTGCGTTAACAGGTGCAGACTTCATTAAAGTCTGCAATGCAACTTCAAAATCCTCATCATTGAAAAGGATATCTACCTCGTCCATTACAGCACTGTAGTCAAAGGTTGTTCTGAGTATCAGTACAGATAAAACATCATATAAATAACTCTTCTAGCAGAAAGCAGGAAATGATTGCACTTGGGGAAGCAGGTAGGAGTTAGAAAAAGTAACCATAATTTCAACGAAGTCCAGAGCACAAATATTCAGTGACACCAGCATATACTGGGTCATCATCTGAATAGCATATTGAAGTATATTACAATTAAAAAAGACTCAAGGACCTTCATGAGAATCCAGACTTGTTTCCTGTGTTTTTTTCTTTTTGTCCCTCCTTCAGATCCATTTTTATACTCTAATAATAAATAAAAACTATGATTCCAAAATACATTTTAAAATCATGTAATTCGGCACTTCTGGCAAAAATACTTCGGTTGATGTTTGTGTACATTCAAAATCTTGAATTGAAAGAAGAATGCTTAATCAAGTTAAAGAAAACATTCTTACTATGCCAAAATAAATTAGGACCTACCATTGAAATTGAAGGGAGACATAACAGTTAACAGAAAGTAACAAAAAGAAAATTTAGAACAGGATTACCATCTTAGATTTGATAACTGCAAGAAGCCTTCATTTATTAGAAGCATCAAACGACCAGGAGTTGCTATTAGAACATCAACACCTTCTTGTAGATTATCAAGTTGAGTTTTCTGCCGGAAACCGCCTGTCACAACCATTGACCTAAATGGCACCCCAAATTTTGAAATGGATCGGCAATTGCTTAAGACCTGAGAAATTCACAGTGTTATCAAACTTTACCCACCCAATGAAGAAAAATACTGGCAGAATTGTAATGATTTTAATAAAGCAGAATTGGTTATTGAGGCCTATATTAGAGGCTAGCAATGAGAAAATGCAAAATCGTCTTCTACCCGTTGTTCCATAACATGAGAAAGTTATTCATATCAGGTATGTAAAGTATTTATCCAGTACTTAGATTTTTACTACAGAAGCAGAATCTGATAGTGAGTACATGACAGAAAATGCATTCATACAAAGTGAATTTCCTGAAATAAATAACCAGAGGTAAAACATTAAGATAAAAGAAAATGGTATCGGAAATGTGCAATAGAAGAAGCGTGCAGAGCACATTCCGAATAATGCTGCAAGAAATAAACCACCTGAGAAGCCAATTCTGCAGTCGGCACAATGATAACAATTTGGGGACTTTGTGGAGAAGACTTTTGAAGTCCTTGAAGTTCTTCCTGCCTCAGACGCTGGATTAATGGTGCAAGATATGCTAATGTCTTACCAGAACCACTTTGATCAGAAATGATACAACTTTTTCCTTCAATAACTGATGCAAATGCCTTGGCCTGCCATTATTCATATAGAAGCACATATAAGCACTGTGATAGTTGCTTTTCTTATAACTCTTTGTAACAAAATAAGATACTTCTTTTCTAGATAGGAAATTTATAATCTGAACAAATCAATCTTCATAGATCACCATGTTAATTTAGTATCCCAAGAATGGAAAAGACATTCCGTTTTCTCTAATGCTATTTACTTGAAATTAAACACCCGCCAGATGCCTTGACATTAATTTTCGGTCTTCCAAAATATAAATATGAAGATAAAAGAGGAACTTGAATAACAAAAAAAAAAATGTTGATAGAAAGAAAAATGTCTTGATTTTTAAAAAATAAAACAAAAACACTGCCCAAAGATAATGCACAATCTTTGGTCTAAATAATTCCTTTTTTTTTTTTTTTTTTTTTTTTTTTTTTTTTTTTTTTTTTTTTTTTTTTTTTTTTTTTTTTTTTTTTTTTTTTTTTTTTTTGCTATCTATAAGTGTCCGAGTCAGCTTACACGCATCTCATCTATTCTAGCATGACAACCACATGACCCTACTATATTTGGTTGTCAAGATAACTTGTCGGATATTAAATCCTAAGTAGGTGGTCATAATCGCTTGCAATCATTTCCTTTAAGCTCTTTAATATTTACATCGCCCTTATTGACCACTAGAACAACCCACCCACAACCCACAGTGGTTCTTCCATTTCACAAATTACGAAATAACATAGGATACCAGGAGATAGGATATAGAAGAGAATAGCTTTTCTAAACACTGAAGTTTTGAATACGAGTGCACAATGATGCCAATAAGACCAACCACAAAAGAAAGGTGGTTTTGAGATATCTAATGAACTGTCATCCAAGAGCAAGTCTGGCATCTATGTCTTTACACTCATGGTAAGCAGAAGCATAATTCTATCATGTAATACAACATGTACCTGAATCTGTGAAGGCCGTAGGAAATTCTGCCTCCTCAATGATTCAATCATATATTCAGTGCACCCAAGATCTTTAAATGACTTTCGGCTGTAAAAGCCCTTCTCTGAGGAAAACTTCTGTTGTTTAGGTTGGGTTGATTCATACTCCGAATCGTAGGGCCCTCTAGAGCCCCATCCTCTGAAGTAAGTGGCAGAAGCTGCCGGGACTGATTGCTCGGATCTTGATAAACTGGGGGCAGTTCTGTGATGTCGATCTTTATCTTGCAGTTCAGATGATCTTGAAAATCTTTCTACATTTCTTAAGGTATTTACCTTCTTCTTTTCTCCCAGAGTTTTAGCTTTAGGGTGCGGACGATCGGATATATGCGGTGAACCATTTCCAGTAGTCGGTACACGAACATCATCTTTTAATTCTTCCTTTGTCCTAGAACCTTTCATCACAATTGCCTTAACTTTATGAGATTTCAATCTTCCAAGTCTTCCAATTGATATCCTTCTCGGTGTTCCTGAATTCTTAATAACTGTTTATCAATAAAAACTCTGTTTGAGAATTCAATTGGATAAAACAAGATTCTATAACATAAAATAGTTAGGTAATAATGTCACTCAAATATATTCCTCAGACCATAAACAACATTTTATCAGCACAGATATTAAAGAAAATCACCAATTTAACTTAAGAGCTTCGATCAGATTACTTGCTAGAAGCAATTGGGTTAAGGACAAAGGGAGAACCTCGCATTCGTTAACAAGATAGCGATAAATTACAGGACAAATCCCAGTAAACATAAAATAAGCATCCAATTCCATATTTATCCGTCTAGCACAGAAATAAGTTAACAAAAATTCTAGAGAGAAGCACCTTCATTATCAACTGTCACATCTCCATCGTAACGCAATTCGTCCGACGAATAAACGGTGAAGTCATTATCATCAGTGAGCTGATCAAATCCATCAGAATCCACCGACTTGCGAGCGTAACCGGCGATTACACAACCACGGACAACCACCAGCTTGCTTGCGGGAACTGGCCGTAGCGTCTGGCTCAGAAATGGCGGGCGGAGGCAGCCATAGCGTCTCAAGTAGCACGGTTCGAGACTTTGAGAGGTCAGAAAGTTGGCCGGAGTGTGAATGGGAGCGCTGGCCATTGCCGGCGTCCGGCGGATGGCTGCTGGATTGAATATATGCACTATATATCGTCTTCTTCAAATGGCTCTTGGATTGGAAATCTGGAAGCAACAATGGAGCTCTGAAGATCGAAATGGTGAGCCTGCAAAAATCTCAAACTCAATACCGCAAAATGCTCTCTCAACTTCTCCAATTTATTCACCGCCAGTTCGAAGAGGATAACGTTCAATCAGCTCAGGTTTTTAGTTGCATTGTTCTTATAATCGAATACTAAATTAATTTTGAATACTTTTTTAACCAAATAAAAATATTTTAATAATTTTAAAATATTATATATTTTTGAAAATCACCTTTTAAAATACATTAAAAAAAAATTATGAGAATAAATAATTAATATATATATATATATATATATAATTGTACCGTAAGCAAAAATATATTTTAGGGGAAGGCACAAATCAACTTAAAACAAATAAATTTATAACTCGACTCAAACGGTTCTAGCTGAATTGAGTTATCGAATTTTTTGTGTAATCATTATCAGATCCACGTCGATTGGATAGAGGAACAAAGTATTCTTATGAGGGTCTGAAAATCTCTCTCTGACCGACGCAAGGTTGATAGTGATATGTAATGAGCTAAAGCAGACGATATCTACGAACGGTGGGCTTGGGCTGTTACAAATGGTGTTAGAGATAGACACGGAGCGATGTGCTAATGAAGACGTTGGCCTACAAAATGGGTGGTTGGGGACTAAACAGCAAAAATAAGGTAAGTTGAGGGGGGAAGTTGTAAATAATAAATCTGTTTATTAATTAATTAATTAATTTATTTATTTATTATTATTATTTTGGTATTAATCGGCTGCACATATGGATAAGGCACCGCAACTGAAGAAGGAAAAGGAAAACGAACCAGAAGCCGTCGGAAGAAGAAGAAGAAGAGGAGGAAGAGAGGAGGAGGACGACAATGTCTTCAGCCGCTGCTTCCTTATCGTTCCTTGGCAGTTCCTTTCTCGGCGGTGCTTCCTCACAGAATCTTCGCAATCGTCTTCAGCTTAATTTTCCGGCAACCACCTCAAGTTCCGGCCAACACTCTCTTGCTGTCCAAGCCAAGGCTACGACCAGACGAGAGGATCGTCAAGCTCGTCATTCTCGCATCAGGAAGAAGGTAATCGCAGACTTCATTTCCCCAATTTAAAACTTAGTGCCTTACCTCCTTCGCGTCCATTGCTGCGCTAATCGGGCGATTCTCTTGATCAACTTTGTTATCTGCCTCAAATAATTTCACTGGAAATGGTGGTAGGTTATTTGAATAATTCTTGCTATGTACGCATCTGGCTTTCATCTTATTACCCTATCTTATCTGGATATTGTTTCATTTTAGGTATAAATATTGTGAACCTCCTAAGGATTGATTTGATAGTTCATCAATTCATCGTTTCTTGAGTTTAGAAGTTCTGGTTCTACTAGCTAAGAGGTGTGCTTGTTTCTTAGAAGAAATTGATGCTTCCGTGTGGATATTGTTTCACTTTAGCTTAGAGGTGCATTTGGCCAATACATGAGTCCTGGATTTCTGATGATTAATAGCGTAACAGCTCAAGTCCGTCCTCTTTTCGATTTTCCTTTCAAGCTTCTCCTTTCAGTTTTTAAAATGCATATGCTAGGGGAGGTTTTCACACCCTTATAAAGAATGTTTCGTTCTCCTCCCTAACAGATATGGGATCTCACAATTCACCTCCCTTCAGGGCCTAGTGTCCTCGCTGGCACACCGCTCAGTGTCCACCCCTTTGGGGCTCAACGTCCTCACTGTCACATTGCCTAGTGCCAGGCTTTAATACCATTTGTAACAGCCAAAGTCCACCGCTAGCGGATATTGTCCTCTTTGGACTTTCCCTTTCGGGCTTTCCCTCAAGGTTTTAAAATGCGTCTGGTAGGGAGAGGTTTCCACACGTTTATAAAGAATGTTTTGTTTCCCCTTTCCAACCGATGTGAGATCTCACGTGCAAGGACTAGACTTCCCACCGTTGTAGGAACTGGATGAGAGTTAGGAGGTTTAGTTTAAATCAGACGCTTTGATTTATCAAGCTACTGGATAGAGTTTATTCACACTATTTTCTATGAAGCAAGGATTTAGTTGAACATTTAAGGAGCAATATTGGCGTTGATGAGAGGCAGGAGAATAAGAGAACAAGAGATTGGTGAGGCAGTCATCGTCAATGGGGGAGCTTGTGAGATTGACTCTTTTCTTTTCTCATTCCTATTGATACATACAAGGTTGGGAAGCGTTTTTCTCTCTCATGGATTGGAATTTGATTGCAGCTTTTGTAACAACCCGAGCCCACCGCTAGCAGATATTGTCCTCTTTGGACTTTCCCTTCCGGACTTTCCCTCAAGGTTTTTAAAACGCATCTACTAGGGAAAGATTTCCACACCCTTATAAAGGATGCTTCGTTCCCCTCTCTAACTGACGTGGAATCTCACCGCTTTCTTGCATGTTAGCTTTATCTTTAGTTGTTGAATCTCGTTGTATTGGGAGATTGCTTAGGCTACACTTAGCGAGGGCAAACTCCAAACAAAACACTACGCATCCTCGACCTGCATATGACGCTTGGGAAGGTGACATTCAATTCATGCCATAGGACCTCTCTTCAACTCGAAATCTTTTAAATTCATCTATAACGGTTAAACAAAGATCTACGAACATTTTTAATTTTCATTCTTGTAAACATCTGGATCCTTTCAGCTCTGGTTCACAGTTGTTATCTTTACTATAGCAAATTGATTCTTGCTGATATACATGTAGATAATAAAGTATAGTTTACCCATTCAATCATCTTGTGCCTCAGGTTGAAGGAACATCAGAGAGGCCAAGGTTATCTGTGTTCCGTTCGAACAAGCATTTGTACGTACAAGTTATCGATGACTCCAAGATGCATACGCTTGCTGCAGTTTCCACAATGCAGAAATCGATCTCCGAGGGGCTAGACTACACTGCTGGTCCTACCATTGTGAGTTCACTATAACTAAGAATCAAATGTGATTGATACACCGATAATCTTTTGTTGGGTTCGATTATTTCCTTTGCGGGCTTCTCTCAAGGTTTTTAAAACGTGTTTGCTAGGAAGAGGTTTCCACATCCTTATAAAAGATATTTCGTTCTCCTCCCCAACCGATGTGGGATCTCACAATCCACCCCCCTTCAGGGCCCAGCGTCCTCGCTGGCACTCGTTCTATTCTCCAATCGATGTGGAACCCCCCCAATTCACCTCATTTGGGGCTTAGCCCTCCGCTTGCGCATCGCCGTTTGACTCTGATACCATTTGTAATGGTCTAAGCCCACCACTAGCAGATATTGTCCTCTTTGATCTTTCCCTTTCGGGCTTCCTCTTAAGGTTTATAAAACGCGTCTACTAGAGAGAGGTTTCCACACACTTATAAAGAATGTTTCGTTCTTCTCTCCAACCGAGGTAGGATCTCACAGAATGTCTCTGCATGGGCATAGAGTTTTAGTTATTGTACATAGTTTACTTGAATAAGTTCTTCATACATGCCCTCAAGTTCTAAAAAGTTATCAAACAAATTATAAATTTAATTTTCGTGTCATTCTATGCATTCTCTTACATTAACACGGATGATTAAATAGCAACATGGCCGATAATTTAAATAAATATTGACTGATTTAACACGTCACATGGTCGTTTAAGGCTACATAGAAGGCTACATAGAATTACAAGGGTAAGTTTAAGGCATATTATATGATTATATGTGGATAATATGGTTACAGGAAGTGGCAAAGAAAGTGGGGGAAGCGATTGCAAAATCTTGCCTGGAGAAAGGAATTTCAAAGGTAGCTTTTGACCGAGGTGGATATCCATACCATGGACGTGTAGAAGCACTTGCTGATGCAGCTCGTGAACATGGCCTTCAGTTCTGAAAATCCCTCTGTTTTTCTGTATCTTCTTGCTTGGTATGCTGTAACATTGCCATCAGATGACCTTGTTGATTCGAATGAGAATTGTAGTGGTTCAGCCTGAAATTAAGAAGGAATTTGTTTCTTGATTCATCTCTTCTTCGGAAATCAAATCAATGTCTTTGGACATTAAATTAAAGCTCGAGAAGTCATTCCAAACCGACTCTAAGCTTGTCCCATGTTTAATGGTTGAATAGTTTGATACTGAAAAGAGTATGCAAACCACATTTAGTTTAATGGTTGAGTTTTCTAAAGCATATTAGAATTTTGATTGACATCCCACGTCGATTAGAGAGGGAAACGAGTAACAACAAGGACGCTGGACTCTGAATGGAGTGGATTGTGAGATCTCACATCAATTGAAGAAGAGAACAGAACATTCTTTATAAAGAGTAGAAGTCTCTCTCTAGCAGGCGCGTTTTAATGGGATGTTACATGGTACAAAAAATCAATCAAACATTGATAGAATCAAACAATATTTGGAAACATTTAGCATCTGGTTGTGTTTCTTTTTCAGTGCAATCTACATCCTTATACTTTTAGGATTCAGTCAAGATATTAACTTTCGGTTAGAACCTTTGCCTGCAAAGCTACGGAAAATTGCAGCATGGTAGCCATTAATATGAGCCAAATATGATATTACAATCGAAGTGAAGCTTTCTTTTGTCACCTAATTTACTCTACCATAGCATCGCCTGATGCTGTAGAGCCTGCACTGGAAGAACCTTTCCCTTTATTCTTCTTGCCTATACATTCCAAATATTTGGTAGATTTATTGGTAAGTAGTACAAAATAAGAGAAGAGAAATAGAGTAGATAGACAAAACTTGCCTTTGCTCTTCAATTGCCGGAGCCTGACACTCTTCTTCACACGAAACTTGGTTGACGTCCCGTTGGTGTTTTTAAGTTCTGCATCATAGCAACCGAAAATTCTCATTCGAAGCGAATAAATCGAGCACAAAAAGTGAAGACTAGTTCAATCAAGTTGTACCAAATTGAGAGTGGGTAAAGAAAGAATGTGGGGGCCGGAGTACTTTGAGATATATGTTTGCACAAAATATAAAAATACCCAATTGTCAATTCTGATACATTCATCCCCTGTTCATCGGAATCCAACCAACATTGTGCACATTATAAATCAGACAAATGATACCCAACCAGTTTTACAAGAACCATAAGCATTTTGTAGCATGTGGGAAATATGCCAAAAGTGGTCCAAAATGTGAAGGGCGGAAAAAATTATTGAATCCAACGATCCGATGAACAAACAC